TCAGGCCCTGCCAGGGGCTCTGAGCTCTCCCTTCTCCAGGTGAGCCCCCCCAGCTCTCCAGCCTGAGCTGTGTTTTCCACCCAGGACAGATCCCCTGATTTAAGCAGGATAAGGGACCATTACCTAACTTAGAGCACCCATTCTTCAACAGAAGCCCCTGTCAAAGGCCACCAGAGTCACAGGGGTGGTTTGGGAAAAGCCAGGGCTGCTCAGGTGACAGGGACAGCAGGCACAGAGCCCAGCCCTGGGCTGCACCAGCCTCTGCCCCTGTGCCTGTCCCACCCCTCAGTCCACAGCTGAAGCCCAAGCCATCAGCTCTCCCACACTGGTTTTTCCCTGATAGAAACCCTGGGGCTGGCACTGGATGGGCTTCCAGGGCCTTTCCCAGCCAGGCCAGTCTGTGATTCTCTGTTTGTTCTTCACATTTCCCTCGTGCCCTCTGTGCCCTCCCAAGGAGGAGCTGCAGCACCAGCACAGATCCCAGCACCAATAACGGAGCAAAGTCTGGGTCCCAATTTCCCTGGGTCTGCATTCAGCAGGGAACAGTGACTGCAAAAGGTTTTTAAGTGCCAACAGGATCATTGCAGATCTGCCACACAAAGGGAAGGCACACAGAACCCAGGGAAGCTCAGGGAGCCCTGGGAATGATTCCTGGGGAGCCTGAGGCAATACCAGGGAGGCAGAGGGAGGCCCCACTGTGTGTCCTCTCTATTCCATTCAAATGAACCACCAGGTCATTTTAAAATTAAATTCACATAAAATAGATTGGTGCTTCAGTGTCAATGCCCTACAGTTAAGCAATTGACAAAGTTTAAGCTGTAACTGAAAGTTTTATGCTGGTTTAAAGCAACAGCTGTCCCCAAAGCATCAGGACTGCTGGCAGAGAAGCAGAAAAGGAAGGATTTTGCTGTCACAAGTTCACAACAGACCAAGAAAGAAAAGCCAAGGCTCCCTACCAGCCCATGTGTCACCCCATAACACTCATCAGCACCTTCCTGCTGCAGTCCCAGCCAGTGGTGGCTATTACAAAAGGAAATGCTCACCCTTGTGGGAATCCCAGCTCTCTCAGCTTTCCTCAGCCCCTCCACGCCAGGTTTGTTGGAGATAACCAGAACTATCTGTGCATAGCTGGTGTCTTTCTTTGTGCTGTTGATGAGGGCTTCCAGGTTTGTGCCTGGCAGAGAGAGAATAACTCAGGGATCCCGAGAATAAATAGAGGGAACAGCTGGAAGAGGCTTTAAATAAGCAGCACTGAGGGGGAGACCAAACCAAACAGCCCTGATGAAACTTTAATCCTTTTTTAATTGATTTGCTGGGAGCTGATTCAGACAGCTGAAGGCCTTTCCTGGCAGCTGCACTTGGAAACTGTAATGGATAGCACTGGATTGGTGGCCTTAGTGATTGGGAACACTGGAAATAGAATAGATGGAGTTGTACATGGCAAGAAGAACTTCTGCTCCATCTGTGAAATGATGCTGCTGTTCCTACAGGGCAGAGTGAGAGCCTGAATCTGGACACCTGCAGAGGTTTGGGGATAAACTGAACCCAGTTTGCAGCAGAGGTTAAAAGAGGTTTGTGACTGCCATCAATCCAAGCACAGCATCTCCCCTGCCTGCCAGAACCTACCAGAGTGCCCATGGAGAACTGCAGGGACTTTAAATCCAAGCTGAATTCCCCTCTGCAGCAAAGAGCAGCACTCACCTGTTCCAGAGATGAGGACAGCAACCTTCATTTTGCCTGCCTGGATCTTGCCCTGGATGTGGCTCTGCACACACAGGGACCTGTTTGCTTGCAGGGCCCGATGCAGATTGAGGACTTTAACGCTGTCAGAGCCTGAGCAGGCACAAGGAAAAACCCAAAAACCAGCAAAACAAAGTGTCAGTACAGGGAGAAACAGAGAGAGGAGAAAAGCACCCATGGAAGAGATTAACGAACTCTAATAATAATAATAATAATTGATAATCAGTTCAATACCCCCACAAAAAAGTCAGGGAGGTGCCAGTGCAGAGGTTTTCACCTCATGAAGACTCCCAGACCAGGGAATTTCCCTCTGCTTCTCATTGCTGCCGATTTCCCCCAGGGCAGAGCAAGCTGCAGTAACCTTTCTGCAGGGACACCACCCTGCCGACGCTCCAGGCGGTCTCGTGTCCCTGGATGTCCCCGAGCACCTGCTGGGCCATCTCCTTCTGCACCACCAGCACTGCCCCCAGCCCACAGTTGAAGGTCCGAGCCATCTCCTCCTCAGAGAGGTTCCCTTCCTTGTGCAGCCAGCAGAAGATTTCAGGGATCTTCCACGTGAGAGCATCTGAAGGGAATGGGAAATACAGATCAAGAGTGGGGATTGCTGCCAATGGACTACAATTATTGGGGTGTTAAAATCTGTCACAAAAATCCCCCTCTGCCCCAGTTCCAACATGTGAGGATGACTTACAGCAGCACAAAAATGCTTCTGGACAAAGCACCGGAAAGCAATTCCAAGGACAGGAAAATTATTTTTTTCCTGTCATGTTC